ATGTTGATCTACGCAGCACTCCATCGCTGGAGTTGGCTACCATGCTTATATTTTCATATATACCTTATGGGCTGGCAGAAGGAATTAAACTGTCAGGTAAAGACTAAGATCAACAGTTTCGCTTAAAAAGCTTTCTGAGGGGATCATGAGTCTGTTAGCTGAGAGATGCACATATGTAATCGGCGCACGCTCTTAGCAAAATGCGGATTACCTGTGGTATAACGTCACGATACTCGCGGGGTGTAAACTAGTCTGTGACATGGTATGAAAGACTGGTCACGTGACAAAAAAATAAATAATATCATCATTTCTGCGGTTTCTCTATGAGATAAGAGCAAAATTATATTTGTCACTTGACCTGTGTTTCATACCTTGTCACAGTTAATAATTCGCATTTTGCTAAGAGCGCGCGCCGATAACATAAACACATGCGCATCTCCCAAGCAATAGCTGGGCAGTCTATAGGCCTCAGCTAACAGATTCATGATGGCATATAAAGTGAAGGAATTATGAATATATCTTGAATGCGCTAATACATAGTTTTGTTCAACATGTAGGTATTATGGCCATATTATTTTGTGGTATATGTATGTCACACTACACCCATTTCAACTTGTCACCCATGACACAGATAACAGTGCAGCAGATYTTAAGAACAGCATCGTTTATGGCAGGTAAGACTCGGTCAACGCAATTCTTCCGTTTGTCTCATTGTGAGAAAATTTAGTCAGTGACCTGGGCACGAACGTCCTAACGGCTGCGAGAGGAGACTAGAGAAAATTTGACTGGGAGTGTTTTGGTGATTTGAGTATAGTACTCGCAGCAAAGGAGTTACATAACCCTGCTGGCCCTAGCAAAAGTCACACTWAACATTTCAGTGGAAGGTACTACTGCGGGGCGGATTTAGGGTTGCTGCGGCTCCCCCTTTTGCTTAATAAAAATTGGGCAAAAAGAGGAAAGCAAAACGGAAGTAAGAAAAACGTTGTCAAACTCCCTCAAAATGCTGGAATTCGCGTTTCCGTTGTTCTAAACTTCAAAATTTTCCGGGGACCTTCCTTTGTAAAATCACTGGATCCGCCCCAGCTACTTGCAACAAAGAGGATGGGTGGAGAATACATGTACAAAAACAGAAAAAAAACAGTGTACATTAAGATTTGCAATTGACCCAGGTTCGGGCTGGCGATTTTTGCGGCAATTTTTCAATCAATTTTCAAAAATATAATCGATTTTGTCGTATTCTTTTAAAGGGACGTTTAGTTAGCTCGTCTCCGTGCAACGAATAAACCTTTACAAGTTAATTATTTTACATAATTTACTGGAATAAAAGTTAACGCAAAAATCGCTTACTGTAAATGGGAGGGAAATTGTGTAGACATCCCTATAAAATGCTATTTAGCCGCATATTTATTCATAAGTCATGAAGATTACTGTTAATATTGATGAAATATTGTGTTTTATATTTCATAGAAACTTGTGTGTTTGCTTATTTGGGCATGGCAATATTCAGCTTTAAACATSAGTTCAAGCCAGCTTTTGTTATTTGGAGTATCGTGAGTAATATTTCTTTCTATTTCCATTCATTTTTTTTCTTTTGTTCAACTATTCAACCACTGAAAGTTAATATCTATTAATACCCCGCATTACAGCTAACCTCGAAATACCGCCACTCCGTTAAATCGGCCAAATTTTTCAGTATGTCCCAGCAAATTAAGCAGCCATACTTTCATGCACGGTTAAAATGGACACCCCGTTAATATGGGCACTGTTCGATGTCTCTTCGGTGGCCGGACTAACGAGGTTCCATTTTTAGTTTTATTATCTCCTTTTCATTCATTAACGTGCCAATCACCCAATCCTTCATTTTCATATGTATATGAATTTCATTTTGTTGACTTCAGATGCTTTGTCTAATCGGGCGTGCTATTAATATCTACCCACTGTCAGCGCTTGTCAATCAATTCAGAGACACTAAAATTGATAGGAAAACGCAGTTTGTTATGTGGTTCAGCGGTAAGTGTGATAAAAAGGTCGTGGCCAACGGAAATCCCGTATGAGATTTTGTCTACTAAATTTTAGAAATACATAGTAATATAAACTGGGAATAAGAATTAGTATTGTTTATTATTCCTTTATGCTCTATGAATGGAGATAATGTAAGATTCGAGTAACAAAYGATGAATGGAAACGGATTGCGAATGGATATTTAAAGTCACCTTATTTTCCAAATATGAAATATCTAAATGTATGACAGCATTGAATGCTGGTTAACCTATAGGCCACCCAACTATTGCTTGAGAGAAAGAATGCGCACACTTTTATGTTAATATCAACACACGCTCTTAGCAAAATGCGGATTACCTGTGCTATTACGTCATGATCCCATGCCTCGCGGGATACAAACAAGTCTGTGACTAGTTTACATCACATCTTCTCTCAATTAATAGTTGGGCAGCCTATGGTTAACCATGGCTCTATAAACAACTGTGAATGATATTCTTTCCTCTGCCTGTCAGGTTTGCGAGGTGCGGTTGCTTTTGCTTTGGTGCTACATCTCCAACTTGATGACGAAAAACGAAATGTTTTGATCACATCGACCTTGATAATCGTTTTGTTTACYATTTTGTGTCTTGGCGGCTCAACTCTTCCACTACTAAAGGTACGGTATAAGTCCGCATGTTAAGTGGRTTCAATATCGATGTGTTTTGACTGCCTGGAAAAGGGATACTCCAGTTTCGAGATCTTATTTGTGCAGTCTTAACCTCGAAAGCATGTAATATATTCTTTTATTCAGCATAGATCCTATAGTTATGCCAACACTCTGTGTACAAAGAAGACAATAAACAATTTATGCTTGATTGAAGCTAAGCTTGCACAAAAGAGAATTTGAAACTGGAGTATTGCATCCCATGAACCTTTGCGGGRCGTCAGTCTTTAGAATACCCCGTCACTCTGAAAGCATTAAAATTTTGTTGGTCCGCGGTCGATCGCAAAGACCCATGGCCAATGACATTTCTAAGTGACATGAAAATTCTTTTGTAGTTTCTAAAGGTTGAGAATGAGAAAGGACTGACGATGAGTAAGACTGAGACCGAGGTAAGKAAAACGTGCGAAATTTTTTAATTTTTTCAAAGTAATTTAGAGTCCATTAACAGTACAATTTGTTAATAAATGAATAGCAACAAATACGAAATATGTAGAAAAGTAAAGTATCATGGGTGAGATAATCAAATACATGTAGTGCAGTTTCAAACCAACATTTTGACCGCATGGCAYTATGGGATACATGATATAGAAATAAAGCAAAGTTATAGTGCTTAGAAGGAGRTCATTCCTGGAAAAAGATCCTTAAAAATCAATTCAGAAAAATTAAGTTCCGAACTTACTGGGATTTTGATKGGTTRATTTACATCTGATCAGGCGACTTGATAACAATTTGTTGAAAATTTGATCAGGGGACGGCGCTGGATGCTGATAAACTTACAGACGATGAATGGAGGATTCCAAGAAGGACAAGGAAAGGTTTCACCAAACTTGATGCAAAATACTTTCTTCCTTTCTTTACAAGAAAGTTTACCCGTCAGGTAAKTTTGAGTGACCTATTTTAATAACCTCGTTCTCGGGGCTTCTCTMCWCGCTCTTTTCACAGAGAAAGGTTTTTTTTYCCYCTCGGAAAAACTYCATGGAACGCGATTGAGCAGTTCAAAGGATTAATTGAGCTGCAGTAAAGAAATACTGATTTGCTGTAAATTAATACAGATTTGCTGAAAAACAGAAATAACTAAATCATTTTTTCAATCTCATTGTTGCAACATCTTCCCTTTCTCCAAGCCTCTCTCATTAACTCTTTCCGTTGCTTGGGAGTTGGTGTGTTTCCYATCCGAGTGCTTTCCGGATTTATCTCCGTCGTCGTGACTTGTTTCCCGGAAAGCGCTCGGAAACCGAAAATTTAATCACGACACAGGAATCCCAGGCTATGGTAAGAATCAAAGAGCGAGACTTGGAGGACGTCTGTAGCTACGTTTAAWGTTCTTAAGACTGTCTTTCATCCAACAGGAAGTACGAGACTCCCATAATGAGATGCAGCGACTTACAAGCAACTTGTACAATGAGGTGTATAGTCGACCAAACTCAGATGATGAAAATGAGAGCAAATTGTAAATACGACAAAACAATCAACATTTATAATAACAAGTTATTTACAATAACAAGGTTTTAAAACATTTGGACACGATGACGATGAAAGAAAGAAAAAATAAATTCAACTCAAGATGATTTTTACAGCTAAATAGTAAAGGCAGTTACAATTGCAAGAAGATGTACAACACTGTCGAGTTAGAAGTCAAATTMGAAAGGAATATGGAGTCAATATGGGAGGTTGTTGAAATAGGAGCAATAGGGAAACGATGAAATCGCGAATTTGGAATTTTCATATGGACGCAAGAAGGCTGGAAGTACGGCTAAACAGAAGTCCAATTACTGTAGAAAGAAATTTGAGATAAAATGGGAAGTTACTGAAATGCATAGGAAAAATGAACTTACTTACAATATGTTGCAAATGTGGACTCCAGAAGGTGTGCGTGACATCGTTGGATCTGCCATSGCAGTGCGTGATCGACTTAGAAAGAAATTTAAACCAAAACTGGGAAGTTGTTGAAATAGGAAAATAAACGAACTTGCTAATAATGAAGTTGAAAAGGGGACCTTTGTTGATGCCAAAAAGATGGATCATTTTGTTAAACTGTTGCATCTTCACGGCTCAATTAGAATGGAATTTGAAATGTGGTAAAAGTGATTTCCGACAAAAGACGTTTTAAAATGGATAGCAAACTGGGAACGTGATTTTGAATCGAAAATGATTAAGTGGGTAATTTGGAAAACAAACTTAAAACTGCTTAAGATGGATTCAAGTGATATTCTACAGAGTTGAAGACGAAGTGCAGCCAATAACGCTGGGAAATTATGGAATGAATTGTAAACAGAATCTAAATTTGAAAATTTCAATTATAAAACTCTGGTTTCAAGGTGGTTGACAAGGTTTGAGTGTTTGGAAAGAAGCTCAAAAGGAAGGCGAGAAAAACTAACATGTGTTCCATGAACGATGAAATGTTTTGCTGTCGCGTGGCAAAGATATTTTGAAAAGGCATCAGCAATGGATAGATTAGAAAGGACTGCGAAATACTAAGAAGAATTGAATTGTAAAACTTGTGGCCATACCGGTGGTACGTCAAAACTGTAGAGCTTATCAAGAGCTTACCTTGGTTTGCGTCTCTTAAACCTAAARCCTTAATCTGCAATTCTTAGTAAACTACGGACAGTCAAAACCATTGGCATAGCTTTGAAGTCAACTGGCATTAAGACCCAAGATCTTTTGATTTATGGCTGTCAGTTTCTGTTCTCATATTAAGTGTGCATGGCGACTTTTGACTGCATTGTACACAATGGTAACTTTAAAGGGACATGGTCCACCAGCATCTATTTCGGGCTTTTTTTATGTATGAAAATAAAAATACATCATAATATAAACAAAATGTTACTGTTTATTTCCCCTTTATGCTCTATGAATGGAGATTTTGTAAAGTTCCACCTAAAAACTGACCGCGGATGGAATCGGATTGAGAGTCGCCTCATTTTCCATCTATGAAAAGTCTAAACCGTCTAAACCACGAYTACATTGAATTCTCGAGGGCCATGGAAATAAGAACTCTTCTTATGCTACTTCTAAATATGACATATATAGCATACATAAATACTGAGATCATTCAAAAGGTTTTAATGTTGAAATTTCTATACAAACGTTGAATTTCTTAGAAATATTCTATATTTATTTAAAAACGACATTTTACTCGAAAACATATCTGTACAATATGTAAAATCRTCCATGTTTAGGCTGTGGTCTGCTTTTTTAGGTAAAGCTATAATTATTAGTATAATGCAATGCTAATGTACAAAATTATGTTATTAATAAACATTTGTAATGTGAATAGTTGGTTGATCCATTAAGTAATAATCACAAGCACACGTGGACTATGATCATGTTTGAGAACTATGCTATGATATATGAGGATATTACATGGGCGCACGGAGATACGGATTTTATATTCGAGGTTGAAAAGATCTCTCACGAGTGAGCCTAATCAAGTTTACGAAATGGAGAAATAAAGGTATTTCATAGATAATTATATGACAAATTTGTCTCTTTCTAAGTGTGTAGTGATTCTACTATAAAAGTAATTCGTACATGACTAATAGACAACGAGGCTTCGTTCGAATTGGCTATCGGCTATTTACGACGAGATTGATTCTCATATAAGCTGATGAGCTCCCCTTTTTTTCGGGCTTCCTGTCCCTCTCGAAAGAATACAGGAAGGAGGGACAGGGAGCCCGATGAAATGGGAGACTGCATAAGAGACTAATAGCCTAGTAGTAGGGAGCCAATCAGAGCGCGCAGAGCCTCATATCCAGTGAGTGTGAATATAATGTAGTTTTTTTGTTCCAGCTAGTTGTCGTATAAGTGTAGTATTCTAAGTGCTGAAACGCGTACGTTCTCTGTGTTTTATAGGCTTTGCACGTTCTTAGTATTCATTTTGTGGTCGTTTTGTACGCAGTACTCGTCCAGTACATATTCTTAGCATGCGTTCTGTGCGCAGTATGCGTTTTGAGGTCGTTCTGTATTTAATGCGGTTGTTTCAAAAGATTTACTGCAAAACTTCACGTGTGTTATTTCGATTTACATCAAACAAGTTGTTGAACTGTCCATGAATGCGTTTCCCTGTTTCCCCAAATTATATGACGAATAGTCCCAGATGCTTTCAAAAAAGGGATCCAGGAGCTCCTTTAACCCTTCCCTGAGCACGCAAATGGCTATAGCGCAAAGTTTAGTGGTTGATTGAAACGCCCACATCAAAGAACATTTGCGCGACTTTCCTTTTATTTTGAACCAATCAGAAAGCACCTTAGTTTCAAATAGGCGGGGATCGTTTGTAAAAAATAAAGGTACGATATCAAAGCCGATTCTTGGATATATGTGGTCTTTTAACGGGATAACTAATATCGACAAGTACGCTCCTCTAGATATTGCGGGGTCTTCCGGCCACATGATACACTCGCATATTTGAAAATACATTGACATAGATGAATCAAACACAAACKTGTGATTATAATCATAGTTTTATTTAATTCTAAGCAGACAAGTTATTTTTTTTATTGTGCTACAATTGCCTTTATTATTTCTTTTCTACGGTCTGCCTTGGTAGACTTTTCCATGTTACATTAATCTGAAAAAAAGTTGAAAACTTCATCAGAAAAGTGATGAAACAACATGGCACGTCAGGGGCGTATCCAGGAGGGTCATACGGTGTCCCCCCTTTCAAAGCCAAAAAACACGAAAATCATAGATTGATATGACATCATATTGACGTCATATGATTTCATAGTGACAATTTGGTATGTTAGTACCCCTCCCCCCCTCCCACTGCAAATCCCGGWTACGCCCCTGCACGTTCTGAYGTACACATGTCAACAAAGCTTGAAAAACTAAAGAAAACTACGATAAACACATAGAACATTCCATAAGATGGAAACATTTCTTTTTATATTAGGACCGCGAAGAAAACAAAATTAACAACTTTGGGGAAGTTAGAAACTGACCTTTTTTAGTTTTTGCATCCGTAAAGCTCCAATCGGAGCACTGCCCASCTTTTAACSCCTTTAGGGAAGACTCGTATGAACTGAGCAACRAAGGGCTTTAAATCWTTCTTTACCACCGTGTTTGAATCCGTGTTTCCMATCAGGACTTTGCCTGACTGATAAGGTKTAAAGTTGTAAGGTCCATTCGAGCTGTATTGAATAGCGTAACTTGTCACMYRCTCKTRTGAYTTGGCAGACCCTTGTGTTGCTATGCCTGTTATCAAKTGGGTATCACCGAGATCAACTTGAAGCCATTCTTTGCCGTCGTTCTKTTTTGGGGCCCAACCTCCCCCCGTCTTGTGATTTAATCTTGCATGTCTTGGTGCRTATGATGACCACGTGAAGGAGGATGCAGTGATATTGTAATCAGGGATGGCTTTACTTTCCATACCAAGTGGAACACTCTTARCACATGACGAGGCTACAGAGAGAAACRTTAATAACAAGCGTGTACGTAKAACTAACGTAAGCGTGTACGTAGAACTAACGTAAACATGCATTACTCGGGCTTCCTGTAATGATACTYACTGCTKGAACAAGTRTTGCAGGTCAACTGGCAGTAMACSAGGCTKATTGTCGAGTTCTTTGAGCACTCGTTTCTTCCTTTTGCGATGTTGCAGCTTTGGGTGGAGAAGACATCTTTGCAGTCTGAGGATAAAATGAACATCATTATTGCACTTCAAGTGCAGTATGAGCAGTTTACTCGTCAATTTGCAGTCGACTTACTGTACGTTTTGAGGCATAGTTTTCTCCAGTTCGCGTCCTTGTCCAAGTACCCATGGGTTTTCAGATAACGACAACTTGCTTCACTCAGGATGTCCTTCGTAGAATCACTTCGCTTTTCTTTGTTGTGTCTTCGTTCATTTTCTGCTGTCACAGTCACCAACATAAGCGCAAAGACAACGATAGCTTTCATGGTACTATAGTAAAAAATTGCACTGCACTACTCACTAGATCTCAGTCCTTGATCAGTTGTTAAGCGATATGAATTGCACGCGATCATATGATGATGTTGGCTTTAAGACCTTTATTTAAATCCTTACTAAGTTGTAATTATGGCTGAAGTGATGGTCAATATTTACTCTCAAGTACTGGTTAATTACAAAACAGTTGTGATAAGAGATCAAAGCTATTACAAAAACTGCAATTTACAACGGAACATTAATTGGTTTTTGACTTTTAACTACTGTAATTCAAAATGAGTACTAATTGTCTTTATGGGTTTGGTAATAAAGTTAGTTCAGCTTTAGCGGGACAAAGGTACCTCCCGCTCATCTCCAATTCCTTCTGTCATTCTTGTATTCGTTCTATAAACCAAACCGAACAGTATATGAATTCATATGCTAAGTTACTCTCAGGACCTTTCAGTCAGGATTTCCATGAGGGAGATTGTTTTTTTTTTCGGTTTCAAAATGTAACTGTGTGAGAGTAAGAGTAACGATTTGGATTTACACCGAACAAGCTGTTGAACTTTCGGTATTGAAATAATTTCCCTTGCATGATGATTTGGCTGATCTGAGTAGTCTGAATAATGTGTCACGTTTCAAATAATATTAATCTAACAAGATATGCGAATCATTTAATTCTGCCAATTTCCCCTTTAGAAGTCCCTTTTGAAGCTCGGAATTGCCCTTCCGATTCTTTGATTGCAACTGATCGATTACTAATAGGTTTGTGACGATTAGGGATTAACTTACAAAAGGATTACATAACGCATTGTGTCTCGGAATCATTCAAAAGGAGAAGCGTCGTTGAGATCGTTAGAAGTTGTAACAAGTACCACGTCAGTTAACAACACATGTTAGCGGGTTAAACTTTGGACTTCTGATATTTGCGCAGCAAAGACGTACCTATGTAAAGATTCTACCGGGTGACATAGCGAACATTTAACATTGAACACTGAACTTTTAGTATTTAGTTGTTTTGATAGAGTAGAAGCCCTTGAAATTATAATACTGAGTCAAGTAAAACTTATTGTTGCAATTTTTGTTGTTAC